GAAGCAGCAGACGCGATTTTGCTGCGTCCGGTCTGAACGTAGCATTAGATAAAATCATGACACCAATAAGCCACTAGGGGTCACGTTTTCTTGACGCAGGCAAAAGAAGTTGAAGTTCAAACTTGTAGAGGTTCAGTTGATTTATTTCCTATATTTTAGCAAGATTACAGAGTTCAAACATTCCCTTTGCTCTGGTAAAAAAAGCCATTGGCCCCTAACCCAAATGTCTGCTGGTCCTTACCAGGCTCCTACATTTATAGAAAGTGGACCGCCCACATTTCTTCCTGTTTTACATAATAAAGAAAGAAAAATGCTAAAACAACAAAAAATACACAAATTCAACACTTAACCTATAAATAAACTCTGTAAATAATACAAAAAATATATATAAATTTAAGAATAAAATAACAAAGTTCTAATGGACAAAGTAATAAAGAAAAATAGCTCCAACATCATCCTTAAAAATGTAGACAATCTGGATGTTTAGGGTTTTTGTGTAAAACATGCAAATTGAACAGGACAAACAGGTCCGCCCCTTAGGATATGACAGTCTTTCTAAGCCAAAACAAGGCTTTGTTTTTGGTCCACTCTATAAAGCCTCAAACTCAACGCCATCTTCGACATTTGAATTGAAAAAGCTTCTAGGATGGGAAGCTAAACGTCTTCAAACTTGGAAACAAAGTCCAGGGGATTGATTTTTAACTTTTTTTGTAATGACTATGACCTGGATGACCGAGGTTCTTCACCAGCAGAAGGTTTTTATGGCTCTAATCCAGCAGTGGATTTGTTAGTAATCACTTCTATGTTTAATGGTTCTAGAAAAAGCAGTTGTCAAGCTGTTCTAGATCATTAGGTTTCCCTCCTCCTCCCGTTTGCAGTTCAGATCAATATCGTCTGGTTAATTCCTCCGTACTATCCATCACCTCACCTCAACTTGAGTTAAACACAAAATACTTTATTTATTAAAGACTTTTCAGCATCAAAAGATGATAAAATAACACAATAATAATAAAAGTTTTTCGTTAAATTAAAACAATTAAACAAAAAACATTTATTAACAAATCAAATAAAACATTAAATGTGATAAAGAGGTGAAAATACCACCAGAAAGATGCTACTCTGAGGGTTTATTCTGCCATATTATTTTTTTCATGTCAAAATTTTGTACTTTTCCAAACTTAGATTGTCAGAGTTCAAAAAGCAGGATGGATAAAATCTAAATGAACAAGCAACTAGATACGTTCGAAGGATAAAAAGATGTTAGCATGACAAACAAACAAACAGGTTTGAAAACCTTGATTTAAAGAAATATTACCTACGTAAATAGAAAACCAGTTCATGTTAACATGGCCTTCCTGCTACGCCCCCAACATCCTTCTCCCCCTCCCATCCAACCCAAAGCAAGTGTTGGATGAATGACAGCGCAGGGACACCAGACCAGTCAGCTACAGGAGCTAAAATTCATAGCTTCCAACACTAACAACCCACTGGGTGATGCATCTTCTTTGTCATTTCAATTATAGATCCTTGTCTGATGGAGAAAGGCGCTGTAAATTATGGAGGCTCCCAACAACACCTCACATTGTCACTGCCACCCCCCCCCCCCCCCCACCTCCAATTCTGCAGTTTTTAACAGCCTCCTCCACTCATTCATGCTCATTCATTGTCGCCAGCCGATCGAAAAAAGCCATTTACAATTATCTGTGGCAAACAGCAGTGGGCTGAAGCAGGGAGAACAGAGCAGACACACTTAGATCCACTTTAACCCAGCTTCAGTCAATTTCCCCTTTAACCCTTCCAGCTGATACGGAAGAACATAAATCTGACATTCAGCTGCATCATTTGATCTGCATTTGATTCCATCAAGGAACTATGAGCATTTTTCTCACACACGTTTTTCCACTTAAATTTAAACTAAAGGAAATGATCCAAAAATGTCAGAACCTCCAACTTATAACAAAATGTGAAAAAAAAAAAAACTATTCTATGACACTGCAGAAGTATAAATAACTGAAGAAAACAACAGAGATAGAAATCTTTACTTAAAACAAATTGAAAATGTGCAATAATGTGCCATTTTGAAACATTGCAATGCAATCACAGCACCAGCTTTTAAAATCATTTTTTAATTCCTGTGAGTTTATTAATAGACTGAGAACTAGAACCTCATACGATTGCAAAAACTGATCTAAAATAAATAAGATTTCTTAAAATACGTGTATTTGTCCTTAATTTAAACAGGTAAGTAGAAGGATCTGCCAACTGAGTGTTTTTTGCCCTAAAAATAAGATACATAGACATTATCTACTTAAAATAATGAATGGATTTATTTCAATTGTAAATCATTTTATTTCCCTGACGAATTGTCTTGCTTAATTTAGAGGATATACACTTATTTCAAGAAAAAAAATTACTTATCATTGGTAGTTTGAGGGCCATTTTCTGATTAACCTAGTCTTAAGTCTTCTGTAACCTTTTTTATTTATAGTATTCAGCCTTTAACTCTAAAAACTTTCAACTGCTTCCTATTCCTCCTAAGTAAAGCAAACCTACATCATGCTGCCAGATGTTTAACGGTAGGACTGTGGTGGCAAAGTGTCACTTATCCTTTTTTTCAGGTTTTTTGGGTTCTCAACATAGAGTGTTTCACACTAACATTAGCACTTTAAATTAGAGTTAAAA